AACCCGCATCATAATTATACGCGTCCGTGTCAGCATACAGCGCGTCCGGGCCCGTCGTATTGAGGTACCGCGGCCGCTGCGGCATCACATCGTCGAAGTTCAGCTCGAGGTATCCGTGGTACGTCGAGCTCGGGATGTAGCTGATCGAGCGCGAGTTGGCGTAGACGCACTTGATGAGGAGTTGGAGGAAGATCTGCGGTGGGGGTTAGTGCTGTTGATTGTTTCTTGTTTCGCTCTCGGACGAGTGGGGGCAGCGTGCCCGCCCACTCGGAAGCGGCCCATGACCGCCACGGAGAATAAGAAAACACACACCTGCTCATACTCCTTCTGTATCCCGCTCGGGTTCGTCGCGCTAAAGAAAAAGAAGAGGATGATCGCCTCGAGCTCGTTCCCGCCCGCCCAGAGCGCGAGGGAGGGGTGGTGGTTCTGCGGTGGCGTGAGTTTATGTGTACGGTATAAGGAATTGATGGGGAGAGGGACGGGAAATGAGGAGGAATGGGCACAAGGGGTAGAAAGGGATAGAAGGGATAGAGACGGAAGGACAAGGAAGAAACGGGACGCACCACCCTCCGAACATTATAATACGCCTCCGCCTCGTAATTCTCCAAATACGCCGTCGCATTCGGGTACTCCGCGTCCGAAAACTGAAACTCGCTCCACAGAAGGATCCCCGTCCTGTCCGCGGCGTCGTATATCCAATCAGGGAGGTACGCGCCCGACGCCCAGACGCGCAGCATGTTCATGTGCGAGGCGGCGGCGAGGTCGAAGAGCTGCTCGATGTGGCTCGTGTTGACGAGCGGCCAGAGGGGGGAGGGGGGGACGAAGTTGGCGCCTTAAGAAATTGTGAGTATTAAAAACGAAAGAAGAAGAGAAGAGGCAACGACGCACCCTTTGCATAAAAAGGCTGCCCGTTAACCTCGAACCCCCAATTCGCGCCCGGCGCGATACCTTGAGACAGCTGCGCATCCGTGACGTTCCCGAGATTGAGCACAATCGTGCGGAAGCCGACCGTCTTCTGCACGGTCGTGATCGGGATGCCGAGCAATCCGTGGATGGTGACGGCCGCGGTGTACAGCGTCTGCGCGCCCATGCCATTGGGCCACCACAGCTGCACGGCGGACGAGGCGATAGAGGTGCTCCCCGTGATGGTCCCGTTTGATTTGGTGATTCCGCTCAGGATTGAGAGAGCACGCGCTTGCCGTTCGAGTCAGTCAAAGTCAGACTCATCCCGCTCTCCGCAACAAGAGTGCCGACAAAGTCCACGCTGCAATTAAACACCCAGTTCTGGCTCTGGTCCGGACTTAGGTTATTCCTCTGGCCTTTCCTGTAAATGTCGATGAGGGTGTTCGCCGCATAGACCTCCCCCGCGATCATCTGCACGGCGTAGATGGGCTGCCACGGGCCGGCGGGGACCAAGACGGCGCCCAGTCCCAGCCAAAGTCGGACTGCTGCTTGCGTGCGTAGGGCTTGCAGCTGAATTCACTCGAGGTGAGGGAGCAGCTGTCGGCAAAGTTGTCGTTCCCGTCTGCGTCGGGGCCGGCGCTGAGCGCGTGCGTAATGTTCACCGCCGACCCGAAGTTGAGCGCGAGCACAGGAGAGGAGTGCCCGCACGCGCGCAGGATTGCCGTGACGTCGAAGACGTACTGGCGGAACATGTTGTCGGTATCGCCTACGGTTTTATTGCATAGCGTGATGTGGGCGAAGGTGTCGAGGCCTTGGAAGACGAGGTGTGTGTTCGACACCAGACTCCCGAGCACGAGGTCCGTCAGCGGACGCGAGGTGTAGGTCCAGTTCTGGAGGGTGACCCAGGACTGGAGGGTGTTGTTGGTGCCATAGAGCGGGTCACCGATGACCCCAGCGTTGTTAAGGTCGATGTACTGCTGCGAAGGCACGGTCGCGGGCACAGAGATGCTACCGTTCTCGCTGCGGAGGGTCCAGCCGGTACTGAGTTCGGTGACGAGCTGGGCGCTGGCGGACGCGACGAAGAGCGGGAGTGCTCGAGACCAGATCATGGTCGCGAGTCAAGAAGAGGTCGACTTGAAACTTGAAAGCCATTTTTTGTTTTGCAAGAGCGCGCGTGCAGATGGAAGAAGCAAGAAGGTTTCAAACGACGCGCAGGTGATCGCTTCTCACACGGCCCGTCAACCACCTGATCGCAATTACCACATCCATCTGTTCGCCATGGCCACAAAGTTCAACCTTGAATCAGCCAAAGGTTAGTTTCCCGTCCCTCGGTCTAGCGGAAGCTCGAACCGAGATGAACATTGAATTTGTGGCTCACGCCTATTGGCGTGCCTTTGGTCATCCTCCGTTCATTCAGTTCAACAGGCATTTCTCATTCACCGTCACATGAATTTTTGCCTACTTATACAGCGACTCCTAAACGTATTGAACGAGAACCAGTAGCGGTCGGTGTGCATCTGCCTTCAACGGGCAAAATTCGTCAAGAATGGCTGCAGAAAACTCTGGTTCGATTCCAGGCTGGGTAATCATATTTGCGAGCCATCCCTTTTTTTTGTTCTCAATTCAGACCACTGCAGAATTTTACACATTTATTCAAGGTATAAGGGTAGGTGAACAAGACCCAGTGGCTCTTGGAGTGCATCTGCATCCATTCTGTAATTGTGTTCATGAAGTACTTGGTTCGACTCCAGGCTGGGTCATATCTGACCAGTTTGGTTAATTTCTTTTTCTTCCCACCTTCAGCTCTCGCACTATTTTTAACACGCTCAAAGGAGGAGGGCCAAAGGCAGGGCAATAAGACCCAGTGGCACTTAGGGTGCATCTGCTTCCGATAAGACTTTGGCAATTCTGTTCGGCAGAGGACCCTGGTTCAACTCCAGGCTGGGTCATATCTGACCTGTTTGGATATTTTCTTTTTCTTTTCACCTCCAACTCTAGCGCTGTTCTTTCAGCCCATTTATAAGACGACTAAAGACAGGGAAATAAGACCCTGTAGCACTTGGTGTGCATCTGCTTCCCATGCTCTGGGAATTGTATTCAGCAGAGGACCCTGGTTCAACTCCAGGCTGGGTCATTCTCTGGTGTCAGATTAGTTTCTTTTATTTTTATTTCCGCCTCCAACTCTAGTGCTATTTTTTCAGCCCATTTACAAGAGGACCAAAGTAAAGAAATAAGACCCAGTAACACTTGGTGTGCATCTGCTTCCAATAGAAAGTCTGCAAATTGACCGGCAGAAGACGCTGGTTCGACTCCAGGCTGGGTCATCATCCGGTGCCATGCATCTCATTTTTTATTTATTCTCACCTCCATTCTCTGGTGATTTTTTAACCCTCTCATCTAAGGTAGATGGGTAGGTCAGTAAGACCCAGTGGCTCTGGGAGTGCACCTGCTTTCCATTTGCAATACCGTTGTGATTAAAAGCAGAAGACCCTGGTTCGATTCCAGGCTGGGTCATTGCTGGTCCCACACTTTCTTTTTATTCTCACCTCCAGTCTCTGGTAATACCCTCTCATTTAAGGTAGATGGCATAAGCAATAAGACCCAGTACCACTTGGTATGCATCTGCTTCCGATAAGACTTTCGCAATCTCTTCGGCAGAAGATGCTTGGTTCGATTCCAGGCTGGGTTATTATGATTGGTTTACAAGACATTGTTTATTTATTCTCACCTGCGTCCTCTCGTGATTTTTACCCTCTCATCTAAGGTAGATGGATATGTAAATAAGACCCAGTGGCCCTTGAAGTGCATCTGCATTCAGTAAGAATATCTAGGGGTGAAAGCAGAGGACTCTGGTTCGATTCCAGGCTGGGTCATAGAATAGCGCGCAGAATTTTTATTTCTTTCCGCCTTCAACTCTAGCGCTATTTTTTCAACACACTCACAGGAGGACCAAAGTAGGGAAATAGGACTCAGTAGCACCTGGGGTGCATCTGCTTCTGATGTCCATCAAGCTATGCTGTTTGGTAAAGAACCTGGTTCGATTCCAGGCTGGGTCATTATGATTCCGTGTATGTATAACACATTTTTTATCTATTCTCACCTCCATTCTCTGGTGATTTTTTACCCTCTCATCTAAGGTAGATGGCAGGTCTGTAAGATCCAGTAGCACTTGGTGTGCATCTGTTTCCAATAATTGGTGGATCTTGGGTGATACTCTGTTTGGCAGAAGAACCTGGTTTGACTCCAGGCTGGGTCATATCAGCGCGCGCCGAATTTATTTTCTTTCCACTTCAAATCTCGCACTAAATTTTCAGCCATTTACACGAGGACCAAAGTAATGAGAATAAGGCCCAGTAGCACTTAGTGTGCATCTGCTTCCGATAAGACTTTCGCAATCTCTTCGGCAGAAGACACTTGGTTCAACTCCAGGCTGGGTCATATTTGCCAGTGGCGCGCCGAATTTCTTTTTCTTCCACCTTCAAATCTCGCGCTAATTTTCAACCCATTACAAGAGGACCAAAGGTAAGAAATAAGACCCAGTAGCACTTGGTGTGCATCTGCTTCTGATGGTCCATCGTAGCTACACTGTTGGTAGAAGAACCTGGTTCGATTCCAGGCTGGGTCATTATGATTGCGTCTGACACGTTTTTTATTTATTCTCCGTCCTCTAGTAATTTATTTAACCCTCTGATTCAAGGTAGATGGCATAGGTCAGTAAGACCCAGTAGCACTTGGTGTACATCTGCATTCAGTCTGGGGATCACTTTCACTGAAAACAGAAGAACCCGGTTCGATTCCAGGCTGGGTCATTATGATTGGTTTACAACACATTTTTTGTTTATTCTCACCTCCATTCTCTGGTGATTTTTTACCCTCTCATCAAAGGTAGATGGGTAGGTCAGTAAGACCCAGTGGCTCTGGGAGTGCACCTGCTTTCCATTTGGAATACCGAATTGATTAAAAGCAGAAGACCCTGGTTCAATTCCAGGCTGGGTCATTGTTTAGTCCCATACTACTTTTCTTTTCTTTTTATTCTCACCTCCAGTCTCTGGTAATTTTTTAACTGTCTCATGTAAGGTAGATGGCATAGTCAATAAGACCCAGTAGCACTTGGTGTGCATCTGCTTCCAATAAAAAGTTGGCGAATTGACCGGCAGAAGATGCTGGTTCGATTCCAGGCTGAGTCGTTATTTTTTATTTCCGCCTTCAACTCTAGCACTATTTTTCAACACACTCACAAGAGGACCAAAGGCAGGGAAATAAGACCCAGTAGCATCTGGGGTGCATCTGCTTCCAATAATCCAACTTGGATGTGTTCGGCAGAAGACGCTGGTTCGATTCCAGGCTGGGTGGTAGTGTGGAGCCATTTTTTATTTATTCTCACCTCTGCTTCCAGTCATATCTTGGCGAATTATGCTGCTTGGCAAGACCTGGTTCGATCCCAGGCTGGGTCATTGTCTGGTCCCAGACTAGTTTTTATTTCCGCCTTCAACTCTAGCACTATTTTTCAACACACTCACTGGAGGACCAAAGGTGGGAAATAAGACCCAGTAGCACTTGGTGTGCATCTGCTTCTGATGGTCATTCGTAGCTATCTGTTTGGTAGAAGAACCTGGTTCGATTCCAGGCTGGGTCATTGTCCGGTCCCACACATTTTTATTTATTCTCACCTCCGTCCTCTCATGGTTTTTACCTCTCATCTAAGGTAGATAGATAGGTTGTAAGACCAGAGCACTTGGTGTGCATCTGTTTCCAATAATTGGTGATCTTGGTGAATACTCTGTTTGCAGAAGAACCTGGTTCGATTCCAGCTGGGTCATATTATGTTCATTATTTTTTTCTCGCCTCCGTCGTCCATCATTCAAGGTAAAAAAAGTAAACAAGACCCAGAGTGCATCTGCATCCAGTACGAATGTAATCGGATCAAAGCAGAAGACCCTGGTTCAATTCCAGGCTGAGTCATTTCTTTCCTGCAACATTTTTGTCTTTCGCCGGAACAAAACAAAGGCAGGGATTTATTACCCAGTTGCACAAGGTGTGTGGTGGCTTTCAATGGTGCGGCTCGACAAATTTGAATCCATGGTTTTTGTTCTCACTCGAATCCCGATTATGCCCATTAATACGGTAGAAAGCAAGCAAATAAGATCCAGTGGCCTTGGTGTGCATCGGCTTCCAATAGAATTGCGATAAGTCCGTTCAGTAGAACCTGGTTCGATTCCAGGCTGGGTCATTTCTTTTGGTGTGCAACATTTTAAAAATAAACTCTTGCCTCGGTCTTGCTGATTTAAATTTAATACCCATGTAGAAAGGTGTACTGCTGTTATGCGTGCGGTCTCGACAAAATGACCAGCAGAAAACCCGGTTCAATTCCAGCTGGGTTATGGGCAGTGGTTCCGTTATTTCTTTTTACCTTCGTTCCAATTTACATACCTTATAGTAGTGTCCAATGATAGGTAAGAAAGGCCCAGTGGCAGTCAATATGCATCTGCTTTCAATGTAGAGTTACCTGTTCAGAACACTCAAGCCTGCTCCTCGTCCTCTTCTCAACCTCCGCCCGGACGCGTTTTTATATGGGAAACCGACACGACCAATGTCCCATTTTAGCCCAAATATTACAACATTAGCTGTCTAAGACAGACGAACATAAACTTGTGGAAAATATCCAACGAAAAAATCATGCCAGACATGCTACTCCACGCAATCACAAAACGAGGAATGCTCCAGAGAATGCTCCTAACATCGTCATGATCACAAGCGCAACAACAATGCCGTTCGAGTGCGTGGCGAGGCTGCCGCTTGGAAGATTGCTATTGCTTGGAATGGACGTTGGGGCCATGCCACATGGCGGCATGGTGGGAGTTGGCCCAAGGTACACTGTTCCATCTGTCCCAACCGGGGTGTTGGTGGCGAATGCGCCATAGCCGGACAGACAGCCTTGCGCTTGCTAATATCGGAAGAAGTGCTTGTTAGGAATACATGTCAACTTGGAAACAACTACGCACCCCGACGGTAGTTGCAGCCTGTGCCTCCAACTGAAGCTGGCAAAATCGGTGGAGCCGGGATTGATGATGCCAACCATAGCTAGAAGTATACATGTAAACTGGGAAGCCTTAAAACTACCACAAAAATTAACGCGCCTTCCTCGCAGTGAGGTTTCGGGCCCGTCGGGTTCAGTTGCTTGCAGTAGAACGTGATAGCTATTTCGCAAAATTAACCGTGAGAGGTGAGAGTGTGTAATCTTTCACGCCAAATAACTCACGCGTTCGGTCGTCTTCGATGTAGAGATGCCATTCGGGCGGCTGAGCGTTAGGATCAGAATTATCGACGAACACCCAGCCAGAGTCGAATCCATTGGGCAGCGGTTCACACGGGCTGCGCAAGCTGGATTGAGTCACGGTATGGTTCCCGGGACTGCAATAAAATATGTTTGGCTGACTCTCCAGTACGGAAGAAAAAAGAGGGCGCACGTTCCACTGAAACGGAACACCACGATGGTTCCATTGGGGGCGGTGATTGTATTTGGACGGTACACGGGCGCGCCGTTAGCGCCGCCGACATCGACTATCTGAATCTGGAGGATGTTACTTAAAGCTGAGAGGTGAGGAAGGACAATGCTACAAACCGCCTGAGTCACAACCAAAGACGCAGAAGCAGCGAAGGCAGCCAAGAGGGTTGGAACGAACATATTTTGAGAAGGCGGTGGTTTGGAGTTAATTTCGAAGAGGCGCTAGATTTAAAGGGCTGCAGCCATAAATATCGAACGTACCAATGCGAATACTTCCGTGGGATCCGGAACCGCTCCGATGTATCCGGTTAAACTTACCTGAGGTCGAAAGCTCCCACGCAGAGGTTCTCCGCTGCTAGCGGCCAAACCTTAATTCGAATTGTCGGATTGAAACTTCAGCCCACATTTGGAGGTTTGTTCGTTCTAAGCACGGGGATTGATATCAAGGCTAAGCCGCTAAAGGAAGTCAAATAGTAGCGTAATCGCGGTGTTGGGAATGGGTTGATACAAAAAGAATGCTGGCCAAAGTATCCGTTCTCGCATCAAGTTGACAGCTAGTATGGTTTGCGTCGTTGATCGGCGACAAGTAGATTCTTGCCGTTGATTCGAGCATCCAGGATTAGCACAAGCAGGAAAATGATTAATGGGGATGAGTCTCGGGTAGCCGCTTCACCGCGTCGAGTTGGAGGAGTTCAAGTTGAAGGAAACAGTTGTGATCAGAGTTCCGCGATGGGATCAAATGTCACAGGGCCGGCTGGCCATCATGTCCTCGCACCAACCACTTCCGTGAACGGCTGAATCGAACATCTCGTTTTGTTCCTGGAAGTCAGGGTAGCGAGCTGTGGCATAACCACATGGGTAACGGCCGGCGGTTTCGCGATTCAGTGAATATCCTGCGTCGTCGGATTGTATCCAGGGCATGTTCATGGAGGACTATGGAGGTCAGCACTTGCCTCCGATGTTTATGATCTCTTTTATCCTTCCCTCCGACCCGGACTCGGTGAAACACATGCAGTGAATGTTTTCAGGTTTGTGTCGGTGCAGAGATGAACGGCACTCACACCAGCCGTTGTGTTCGACATATCCTCATCCGAAACAGATTCTGCGTATAAAGCTCCCCATACGAGCCAGTCCCCTCATCACACAAAAAACTCAACCTCCTTCAGCCAAACACACCTCTCCGGACCTCGTAATGCTCTTCACTCTCGCTCAACTCGCGGTTTTCACCCCGCTCGCACTTGCACTCCCCACGGTGCTCCCACAGTCCACCTCCACCTCGGCCTTCATTACTGGCGAACCCTTGAGCAACGCCACCTTCCTCACTGCCCCGAGGCCGTCGCCCGCCCAAATCGCAGCGGCGCTCACTCGGATCAACGGCACCCCTTCAGATGAGGACTCCGCGCGCGCGCGCCGCGACCTTGGCCTGACGCAGACCGAAATCCTATTCGACCTCCAAGACTCGTACCATGTCGAGGTGGAGTGGCAGTTCTCCGACGTCACTTCGGTTGGTGGAGATTGCGGCGAGGGCTCGTGCACCAGCGACTCACCCGAATTCAATCTATGGATCAACCTATACACGGGTTACGACCAATCCCAGACTGGTGCATATTCAACATCTCCCGAATTATATTCGTTGCTGATCCTTCGATAGCATGCTCGTCTGAGTACGACATCACCGCGGATACCCTGGGCGAAAAGCTCGACGGGAAACAGTACAGCGCATGCTCCGGCATTCTTACTGTCAGTTACGGCTCAAACTACTATACCGGCAACGTAGAGACAACCGTTTGTCTCTTGGGAACCTGCGCAAGCGCGCTTTCTACACCGCATACCAGGTGAGTCCGGTCTCCGCCGCCACGATAATGTGTTTCTCACGGATGTGTATGCTGCAGGATCCTCCCATTCTCAGATGATTACGCCTACTTCTTGCATTGGGTGACATCGAACGAAGTGTGCGATGGGTCTAGTGATCCGGAAACCTGCACATGCAGCGACAACTGCGGCCCATTCTAGTCCTTCTTTTTGTAGAAATTTATTTCTCCCACTTGCCTTGGTATTTATGCAATGTCAATTATTTTCTGGTTAACACTCTTTATGATCTTATAAGCATACCGTCTGCTGTAGACTTGCTGTTTCTTGGCGACTTGTGCGCTACCGCGTCCCCAGCAATAAACAAATAAATAATATGCCTAGAATTCAGTATATCATCCACTGTCGACTTTCTTTTACTTTGAAGCTGGGGAAATCTCTGGAGCAAATGCAACTGAACGACCACTTTCTGGATTGAATAAAACCCCTCCTCTTCAGCTCGATGTCTGCAGAACATTGGCATTGAGGTGCTCCTTGGAGCCTGACTTGCGCAGCTTGAGGCCCTCAGCGGTCGCGTGAGAGAGTCGAACTGTATTATTCAGAAAGTGGGGTTTTTTTCTACGGTAATTTATTCAAAGTTGGACACTAGAACGGGACTTGTCGGCTCTAAAGCCCAAGCCCTCTCCAACCCAAGCCGAGCTTGCGTAAATTGGCAGGGCCATGAAGCAGGTCAAATGAATATTTTACTTGCGGAGAGAAGGAAGTCGCGAGCTTAGACAAACGTGTATGCGTGCCCCGACGCGGCGCCGGAACACAAGACTAAAAACCGTTCAATCCGGATAGGGGCACCCGGTCAACTGACTCCTGTGGTTC